GACTAAGCACTGCTTGTTGTTTCTCACTGTTTAATTAAAACACATTCTAGTTTTATTGGTTTGGCATGATCCGATACCAGTTTTCTTAATTAGTGACTTCTTCCAAATGCACCACAAGAAACCTATAACCCTAATGATGACACATTTACATTGTTGTGGTATATGAGTCATGTTAGTATGTGCTTGTTCTTTTTTTCCCCCCAATGGATAAAAGTAGCACACAGGGTTTATGAAAGGATTTGTTTTTACAAAGCATCTGACACAGTCACAATAGTTATATGTGGTAGTAAAAGCAACCTGCCTTGCAGTTTCATTATACTTCACAGATTTTTAATGTAACTATGCTGTGACTGTTTAATTCCACTGCTCTGAGTGTCAGAATGATATTCTCAGAAGGCTCCTGCTTGCTGAAACATTTTGAATAACAGCTAGAATAAATATGTAGTGATTAGGTGGATATGAATACCTTCTAAAGAATTTTTTTACTCTATTAGAAGACAAAAATATATGGTGATAGTAATAAAAAAAATAAGAGTGACATGCAATGGTTGCATGAAAATAATTTAGATTTAGTGAATTTCCTCCGTACTGTACCATCAGGGGCAAGAGTCTTCCTCACCTATCTACCTTTAGAATGGACATATGGGGTGCTGACAGATGTGAAAAAAAACAAGCATATAGCGCTTTACTGGAGGAGGAATCATGTCAGTTTGACCCAGCTCTCCAGCATCTGTATAGGAGGCATAAGACCCGGAGAGGGAAGAAATACATCCTGACTCTAGTGGATTTTGCAACTCGGTACCCGGAGGCAGTTGCTTTGACCTCCACCGAGGCACCTGTGGTTGCTGATGCCCTAATCAAGATCTTTCAGCTGGGTTTTCCCTCTGAGATCCTGACTGACAGGGCTGGGAACTTCCTGGCGGAAGTGATGAAGTGCCTGTGGGAGTGCTGTGGGGTGAAACACCTCAAGACCACAGCCTACCACCCTCAGACAAATGGGCTTACAGAAAGGTTCAATGGGACCTTGAAAGGGATGCTAAAGGCCTATGTGGACTCTAACCCCAATGACTGGGATGAGAAACTTCCGCTTTTGCTCTTTGCCTACCAGGAGGTGCCCCAGGAGTCCATGGGGTTCTCGCCATTCGAGTCGATGTTCGGAAGGTGAGTAAGGGGGCCTCTCGGTTTGGTGAGAAAAGGAGTGGAAAGGAAAAATCTCTTCCACTAGACCTCCGTGGTAGAATATGTGCTCAGCTTTCATCGGAAACTAACTGACATGATGAAGGCGGCATGAGACTCCCTGGCCCAGTCCCAGGTGAGGCTGCAGCTGGAGTACTGCATCCAGTTTTGGGCTCCACAATTCAAAAAGGATGTGGAGAAGCTCAAGAGAGTCCAGAGAAGAGCCACCCGTATGATCAGAGGTCAGGAAAACAGACCTTATGATGAGAGGCTGAGAGCCATGGGACTCTGCTGCCTGGAAAAGCACAGGCTCAGGGGTGATGGTGGCCACCTCTAAGTTTATCAGGGGTGCCCACCAGGATCTGGGGGAGCAATTGTTCACCAGAGCGCCCCAAGGGATGACAGAGTTGAACGGTCACAAACTCCGCCGCAACCGATTCAGGCTGGACTTAAGAAAGAACTTCTTCACTGTCCAAGCCCCCAAGGTCTGGAACAGATGGCCACCGGAGGCGGTTCAAGCACCCACTTTGAACGCCTTCAAGAAACATTTGGATGCTTATCTTGCTGGGATCCTATGATCCCTGCTGACCTCCTGCCCCTGGGGCAGGGGGCTAGACTCAATGATCCTCTGGGGTCCCTTCCAGCCTGAATGTCTATGAAATCTATGAATCTATGAAATTGCGTGCTTCACCAGGGCTTTGTGGTGCTTTTATCTAATAGCTGAAGCATATGAGCTATACAGAGGCTGGGCAAGCCAAGTCAAATTGATATGATTTCTCTTCTGGGCACATGCTGTGCTTGGTGCAGGGGTGTACCAAGATGAAAGTAAAGCACTGGTTTTTACCTCCTAAACAGTTTTCAGGAAATTTGCCAAGAGTAAAGACTCTTGGTAAAATCTGTGCCTCACTGGGTGCATTTACACATGCAATTAATGGGAGCATCTACACAAGATGTTTATCATGCAGTTGACAAATTAACTGTGTGGTAAATGTCTCAGCATCTATACATGCACCCCTATTAGGGCACACAAAAATAATAAAATCCACAGAAGGGTAGTGCTTTTTCATGCACAGTAGCATGGCTGGGGCACAAGGGTGTTTCAGTGGTGGGGCTGCCTGCCAGCTGCACCCTTGTCTCCCAGCCAGTCCCTCCACAGCATGTTGAGCCCAGTCAGAGCAGCCTTGGGCTGGCAGGATGACATGCTGTGCATTAATAAACTCCGGAGTTAATTACTCTGGAGTAATTTGCTTCTGGGTATAACTTCAAACAGTGCACCCAGGAGCAAAGAACTCCGGAGCAATAAGCTCCTAAGTTTACTCATATGCACTAATTGCATATGTAGATGTGCCCAGTGTGACTGAATAAACCAGAACAAATTGTTCCACAGTTAACTACTTCTGGTCACAGTATCTAAATGTGTAGCCAGGACAGCAGCAAATTAAGCTGGGAAGAAGCAGTTTAGGCCAGGGCTGCTCTTGCCCTGCTTTGCCTCCCTGCAGCAGTCAGGGGAGTTCCAGACTCCAGCCACAGCTGCCAACTTTACTATCTCTTACATATGATAACAAATATACATATGTATTTCTAATTCTTACTTCTATTGGTTACTACTTAACTCATCTACATCATAACATCAGGTGATACGCTCTTTATTATAATTTTTTACACTTCTTATGTTAATTCTTAGTGACTTAAATACATTATTCATCTATATATGTTGCTGTCCTTAGTGGGTTAAAAGGTCAAGACTTGCAGGTTGCTACGTGCAATTTTTATCATTGCAGTTAACAAGTTGTCATAGTAGTATTTTCATCTTAGGGTTAGATAGCGGTCACCAGAATGTCAATCGCTGACTTATCAACCTCCTTGAAGCATTCTGGGAGTTTTAGTGCGTTGTTCATTATGCTAGGCCTTGCTTAGCATAAGCACTATCTTACAACGAGACATTTATTTTTGAGATCATTAGGCAACTCTATAGTAAATATTTCATGTAGACGTGCCCATCAAGTCAGTAAGTCTTGCCATTGCTAAGATGTTATCTCCCTTTTCTGCACATCTAAATTCCATGGCACTTTGAAAACCCCTGGTGCTAATGGTCCTCTGCTGCTTGTAGCCAATCTGTGTTGGCCAACATCTCATAAAATAATGCTAATTTGTATCTTCACTGTGGGATGAGAAAGATGGATTCACAGATAATGTAATCCCATGCTCCACTGTCTTAAAAAAACAAAGTGGTTATATGTGCCTGAGGTCCAGTCAAAACTTAGACAGTTTCACCATCATTATCTTTATCAAAGCTGTGATTTTTTTGCTAATGTAGTTATTTTAGTAAAACACCTAATGTATACAAGTGGGCAATTTTACACTTGCTCTGGGTGTGGCAATTGCCATGCTGGAATTCCAGTGTGTTGGAGCAGCCTCCACACTAGTGTATAGGTGCCCAGTTATACTAGCAGTATGTGCTTTAAATTAGTACATTATATTTTTATCATTGAATTGGAATAAGCTATACTGGTTTAACCACTTATATAATGACATCTAGACTAAGGCTGATGCTTTAAGTCTTTTAGCATAATTAAAATAGTGTAGCTTTTAAATGAATTCAAAGCTTGATTCTGTCAGGTTACGTAAAAATGACTTAGAAATACGTAATCGTCTACCCTTTTTCGGGTTGTCAACACCGGAGCCCTATGTATGATGACACTTTAATGTCAACATTAACTATTTAATTGCTGTTGACTTAGCAAAAAGGAGGGGAAACAGGGATAGGAAGATGAATATTGAGAGGAAGAAAAAAGAACTAGCAAAGGAATCACATATAAAGGAAGAAAGGAAAAATAAAGAGCAGAAGTAGTAGTTATCTTGATTTTTCCACCAAGACAAAGTCAAGGATGGCTTCTCATATGGTTTAGATCTATGTGGACCTGAAGCTGTCATTAAAGATGAGTAATCATTGTTCCATTTTGGCATATGACCAGGTGTCATTTCTAACCTTTCCTAATAATGCATAGGAAACCTCTGTGTAATTTGTTTATGTATTTTATAAATAACTTACCTTTAATGATAGTCATCATTGTCCAGGAACTTACAGGATGTATTTTTATTTATCTGTAACTACTTGTGTTTGGGAATATATTTATGTTCTGGGAACTAACTAGTTTTATAATTCATATATCAACATTTTAAAAAACTGTAGTGACAAACTGTACAACATCTATTTTATACAGTTTACCAATATAAGCTACTAATGTACTTACATGCACTTTTGATAAAAATGAATCCATCTACAGTACAATACAGGTATAAAATAAAACTTGTTTTTGAAACTATAATTGGCCTGGACTTTTCTGTTATATGCACTGGCTTTGTTAAAAAAGCCCACAGTTATATCCAGGTTTATACAAAGGACATTTTCTAAAATGATCTCTAAAATTCAGGAGCTCAATCTGAGAAACCTTGGGCTTGATTGTCAGAGCTCAGAAGCACCAGCAACTTAAGATGATTTCTACTGAAGTTAACTCTTCAACAAAATCAGACCCAAGGTCTCTCTAGTTAGCTTCATAAAACTGAGACATGCAAAATTAGTCTATTTTTTAATCTTTCAGCCACTCACTACATCACTTACATCAGAGTTACTGATGTTTCATATCCAGCTTTATACTAAGGTAACTTAATGGTGGTGTTACTTCTGGTTTGCACTACTTAGAATGGTTGGAGCCTGTAAGATACATGCCTAGACAATACATATAAACCCTAATAGAACCAAGTTTATGTTGCTGTGACATACAACACTTTTATTGGCTATATTTTAAATATTTCTTAAATACCTGTAGGATTTCTTAATTTCTTCATGTGTTGCCCCTTTCTCCACAGCCAGAATTTGATACAATGCTTCTCCTGATGTTGACAAAGCACGTTGCCTTTGTTCAGTCATCTTAGCTGTGCATTACCAAGATTGCTGATATAGAACAGCAAAATATAGCAGCTTAGGATTCCAGACATAGACATAATATTCTAATGCTAATTTTAATCAGTTAAATTATCATATCAGTAAATAATATTGAAATAAAACCTCTGAAATAATTACAATCCCTTTGTCCTCCAAAAGGACACAAAGTAATGAGGGCACGTTCACACGAGCATGCACATTCATCTTCCACTGTCTCAAAGCCTTTTGAGATGCCTCAAGAGGCACGTGCAGGAACGAAAAAATGTTTCCCATGATGTGGGACAAAATTAGACCCCTGGATATCTAGAGGTCAAAAACGAAACGAAACGAAACAAAACAAAACAAAAACTGCAGGGGAAAAAAGCGGGGCAGGGCATGGTCCCAGACCATGCCCTGAGGCAACTGGAGGCTCAGTTCTCCATAGAGATGTTCTGGTAGCCAGCTAGAGTGTCTCTGTGGCTGCCCCTTGCCCTGGTGCTGAAGCTCATTTGTGAGCTGGGGGTCCTCCCAAGGCTCCAACTGCAACAATTCTGCTGCATGGAGCCTGGCCATCAGCTGCAGAACAGCTCCGTGTGGCCTGGCTCTGCCTTTCAGCAGTATGAGCTGCCGGAGTGTGTGCTGCACCCATTTTTTTTCCATGGGATTTTTTGACCCCTGGATATCCAGGGATTTTATTGCTATTGGCACATGTGTCCAGGATCACAACACACTGAGCAGGTTGGAGCAGTCCTTGCTGGCAGGGGGCCCCCAAGAGTCAGCCTGCCAGCCTAGGGCTGCTCTCCCCTGGATTCAAATGCTGCAGAGGGGCTGGCTGGGGCATAAGAGTGCTTCAGCACAGGGATAGCTATCAGGCAGCCTCCACATTGAAGCATCCTCATGTTCCAGCCAGCTGGGGTAGTGTATTTACAAGCATTATCCTGCTGCAGAGAAAACTAGTTTACTCCAGCCTAACAGGGGCACATGTGTAGATGCCAAGATGTTTACAGCACAGCTAATTAGTTTACTGCATACTAAATATCTCATGGAGACGTGCCCATTGAATATAACAACAATATTCTCATTGACTTCAGGGGATGAAGCCTGCTATTTTAATGTCCTTATTACCTTTTATTTTCTGCTTTCTCATTCAGGTCCTAGAAAACTAATTTTTACCTTATGCTAAGTCATGTTTCCTTCAGAGGGATACTAACTTTATAGCAAGTTATAGTACTATAGTTAGTAACTATAACTATAGTTATAGTAGCTCCTTTAGGGCTACTTTCTGGCCAATTTTTCCTTTCTGAATGCAAAGCTACTGGATCGAAAACAAAGAATTAAGGCCAACGTACTATTTTGTAGAACTATCTGCTGTGTTATATTCTTATGCTTCCAAAAGTTTGAAATTAATTAGGATCCCATCTTGAGATGTCATGGAGGTGGCTTGCAATGTAACAATACTGGGAGACCATAATGAGATTGGGATAAAATTTTGCCATTTGTATGACTAAAGCATAGGCTGGTGGATACAGTACCAGATCTATCAGCCATTCCCTCATTCTTCTTGTGTCGAGAGTGGGCAACCACAGAATGATTCCAAGGGAGTCCTTATGATCTCTCTGGAATATTTTTATGCTAGATACCAATACTTAGATTAGGTTTTAAAGAAGAGATGTACCTCTGACAATAAAAAGTCTAAATATGAATAAAAGATTTCTGGGAACCAAAAGATTGAGTAGCGTGTCAAATGAGACTACATTACACTCTTCTCACAGATGAGCTAGAAACACTATCCTGCCCATTATTCATGTATTATTTACAAGACCACATGTTGGTTCTGAGTCAGCTGTGTAATAAATTAAAGCCTCAGTTATAAAATAAAAGCAAGCAAGCTGCTAAAAAAAACAAATACCTTGCTAGTTAAAAGGACAGACTTGTTTAGACATGTGTACACTCCACTGATTTTAGCAGAAGCTTTATGTTTTTGTTAGTAAAATGTTATCTACATTAAATAATTTTCTTTTCTTTACCTATTCAAACAAATATTTGCCTGACTTAAGGTCTTATGATTTGGTGAAAGTCAGTCATTCACCCAGGTGAAATAAGTATCAGAATGCAAAACTATTCAGTAAATGAAACTGACCTATTTTTGTTAAAAATTAAGAATTAATTTATTTCAGGCCACATAAATATTTATTTGCAATCTCCATTACAGGGTTACTAATTAAGAATTATATGTCTGTAACATGTTTAACATGATACTAACATGGGGACTCATCCTGTTCATACTGGAATCAATGGGAGCAGGATCTGGCTCCTTGACATTTTTATACCTCTTGTAACCAGATAATACTAAGCAACAGTCTGAAGATACTGAAGCAGGCTGCAACTTAAAAATTCTGTTACCCAATGCTGATTACATGGCAACATCATGGATGCAAAGGCCAAAAAGTAAAATTATGATGGATTTTATTGTAACAGCCAGCAATATGACATGTTTTATACTTTCTTACAAAGCACTTTTCAACACGTTCTTGATTCACTAGATTTTCAAAAAGCTATGCAAGATTCAAGGCACTGACAAATTTAACTTTTTACTACCAGAACACCCATCAGTTGTAGTTAATGGGAGTTTTGCCTACTTACTCCTCATTATCCTTTAAAAATGTGAATTGAATGATAAAAGGTGTAGACTGATTAAAAATAACTTAATCCTGTTTTTAAAGAAGGGGTTTTTTTATTGACAAAGAAAAAGATCAGAACAGTTCCCTTTTCAGTACTGGATCTTACTTCTGATGGCTAATATTAATTATAATACTAGTATTAAACTTTTTTTTTGCAGTAGAGCAAGAAAGGAGTGCATGGTTTATTACCACAAAACCTGAGAAAACATTTAAAAACACAAGTCAAATTCTAGTAAAGAATTACATAGCTCTATCATACTTATAACAACTTTACTTTTGTTTTACCGTATTCTTAACTCATTCAGATTTGTGTCAAACTATTTATGATAAAAATAAAGTCTCATGACTCTAAGAACATACCTTTTTCTAAAACTGCTGGAACAGAATCTTTTTACGTAGTCCTTTATGTGAACTCACAACATAATCAGTTCAATGCCTTGACAGTTCTTATAGTAATAATTTCTTAACTCAAAAGCAAAGAAAAGAAGAACCAAGAGAAGAAAGTGTTTGCATACCTGAAGCACTGTTTCACAGGAAAAGGCTGCTGCTTTTCATCCTTCACATTCAGGGTTAAACAGGTCAGTGGAGTCTGATTACCTTGTTTTGTTAGTCTAGTATCCACTTGGTTATCTCTTTGGAAGACCTATGAAAGAATGAATAAAACATTAATGAATATAAAGGTTGCTATTACAGGACAGCCAATGACACCAAATAGTATGCCTACACACATGTTTAAGTATGTTTTTACTCCTTTCTCTACTGTGCCCAGTTTGAATAGATGTCTTAAATTTGTTGTACTTTCATCAGAATGTTTTTTCACATGCCTGAAGACTTTACAGCCTTAAGATTCACTTTACTGATGTTACCTGTTGTATAGCTTAACAATACAATGAGTGCATCTATGTGAGCTGCTAACTGCGCAGTAGCCTAATAACACTGTGCAGTAGCATATAGGGCAAAAACTGTGCTAATACACTACTGCAGTAGTATTAGGCTATGCGCCGTTAGCATCACTAAAAAGCTGTGCATCAGTGCTACTTCACAGTAGCACCAGTTACTGCTCGTTGATTTAGTACTTGGTTGTGCAAAAACTAAACTTAATGTGCAGTAACTGCAGCGCAATAATGGATGTGTAGATGCACCCAATGTCTTCCAAAATAAAAGCCCTTGGATGACCTTCTTTAGGAAACTCCTTGAGTCCCTTGTTAAAATTTCACAACTAAACCAAAAAAAGAGTTGGAGTTACCTCTTGATTTCTGATGGAGCTTATCTCTTTTTTTGCCCCAAATAATTTATTTCCTGGGGTGTTTTCAAAAAAACTTCGAAGAACCACTAGTCAGCCTTTGGAATGGAGTGGCCTGTGCCACATGTCAGGTACTATATGTAACAGACTGCTATATATACTCCAGTGTGCTGGTAGTGATGGATCACTTTACCAGATACGCTCAGGCCTTCCCCACCCACGACCAAACTGCTCATACGGTTGCTGAAGTACTTTGGGAGAAGTACTTTTCAGTGTTTGGGTTACTGGCTCGGATTCACTCTGACCAGGGAAGGGACTTTGAAAGCAAGCTACTGCGAGAAGTACTGACCATTGCAAGAATACAAAAGTCCCGGACCACCCCATACCATCCTCAAGGGGACCCTCTGTCATGGGATGGGGTCCTGAAGGATGGCCGTGATCTCCCCCAGGCCCCTTTATCATGCCAAATTGGCCCAATGGGCACCCTCTGTTCTCTCCTGCCACGTCTTTGATGGAATGATTAATAGGGAGGCTGCCTTTAAGTCCTCTTGGACATGATTTTGACCGATTCTCTGGACCCTGTGGGTTCCCGGACCCCAGATGCATCCTGCTTCAAAGTAGATGTCATGATGGGTGTTTTAGGGCACCCTAGCCTTATGGGCTATGAGTGGCTCCAACCACCCCTTTACCACGCCCCAAGCCTCGCATATGGTACCAACATTGTCTGGTCTGGGCCTTGTTGTAATTTGGCCCCCTTGTCCTCCCTGGGCTCTCCACAGCCCTGTCTCGCTCTGCACCTCACTGGTGCTGGGGTCAGTGCACCCCAAATGCCACGCCCTCTCTGGCACTGGTGCACCCCAAATGCCGCACCCTCTCTGGTGCTGGGGTCTCCCCGCTGCCTCGGGCCCACAATGAGGCCTCCTCCTTCCCCTAATAGCCTTACCCAAACCACGGGTCTTATACAACAGCAAACAAAACACAGGCTATAACATAAATTCAAGCCGTGCGGCTATAACATCATTCAAGCCACACTGGGGGTGCTCTGTCCCTTAACAGTTTCAGAAGCTGTATCTGCAGTCAGGCCTCTCCCCTTTGCTCACTCTGGGAGAGCTCCTTCCCCCTTGGCTGCTGGCAGGGAACTGCCTTCCTGGCCTCAGCCCTGGGGTTTATATATGAGCCAGGCGCTGCCCGTTGCGGTCAGCTGACCGCTGACAGGTGTGGGCCACTAGCTCGTTCTGGCTGCTTTGGTAACCAGCAGCTGGGGCTTCCAACTCACTTCCCCTAACCGTTTCAGCTCTTTAAAGGAGCAGGGCACCCTAGTGCCCTGCGACACCCTCAGCCAGAATGTTTTAATTGTACACTGTTAAACATGTTGGGAACACTGTCTCAGGAGCAAAAAGCATCACGGAGCCAGCATATAGCTTACTTGGTTCACACTTACAATTCTACAAAGAATGATGCCACTGGGGTCAGTCCATACCTCCTCATGTTTGGGAGAGAGCATTGGTTGCCCATAGACTTGTGCTTTGGGGTGGAAAAGGCTTTTGGGAGCCATGTTCCCATGGGCAATATGCCCAGCAACTGCGCGACTGATTATGGCAGGTGTACAGGTTGGCTATGGAGATGGCACGAAAGAACCAGCAGTGGCACAACTGACTCTATGATGTCTGTGTCCGAGAACAGGGGTTGCAAGCGGGAGACAGAGTTCTTCTCCAAAATGTGGGCTTGATGGGGAAACACAAGATTGCGGATCGATGGAGAGCAGAGCACTTTATTGTGATCTGGCAACGTGGGAACCTACCTGTCTATGAAATTTCCCAAGAGTGGGATGGGAAGAGCACAGACAGTGCACAGTAATATGCTGCTGCCTGTGGGAGAGCTGGTGGAGAGCCCTCCAGTTGACAGGGGGCCCCAACCTCCAGAGAGTCAGCGACCCTCGCTGAGGAAGAGGTTCCAGCTGGACTCGGGTACTTCCTGGGATGTAAATGAACCAAACACTGAGGATGAATACGAGCATCCCCTGGAATTTGTTCCGAGTGCCAGTTACGAGAAGGGGAAGGAGCTCGACATGGGGCTCTACCGCTGGCTTCCCCTGAGGGAGCTGGGGAAGGTGAGCCCACTGTGGACTTTGAGGAGGAGCAGGAAGTTTCCCCCTCTTCTGTCGTAGCTGAGATGGCAGATACACCCACCACCGAGGTGGAACCAGAGTCAGGGTGCCACCGTGACACAGACTGCATCCCTTGCCCGCAGCAATACAGATGGCCTGTGCGAAAATTCACGTACAATCTTCCAGGTGTCCCTGGGGAGGCAACCATTTCTGTCCCGTGGAAACAGTAAAGTTTTTATACACATCTTACCCTGCCATTACTGGGGAAGGTAATGGGTCTAGGCCGGGGAGGATGTAACAGACTGCCAACGTGGGCTCACCAGATAGGCTTGAGATCCTTACCCTGAGCTAGAACCAGTGTAAGTGAACTCTGAGCGACCCCAAGGGTGAAGCAGGGGAGCCCTGCCCTGTGGAAAAGGAGAAGTCAGTCGAAAGAAGGGGTTTTCAATCCCCTTATTCGCATGGAAGGAGGATGGCCGGGGTTGGGGGCCCGCCACCCTGAGCCCTGGTTGGCCAGTTTGTAAGCCAGGGTGGAACTGCCGGAAGGGATAAAAGCAGCAGCCGAACTAGCACGGGGAGCTGCTGACAGTGACTCTGGGGAATGACGCAGGAGGCCTAAGGAGACCTGGGGTGAGCAGACCCAGCAGAGGGAGCAGAGAGACCCCCCTGGAGAGCCTCAAAGGCCCTGGGAGAAGAAGGCAGTGGCAGTTGGCCATGCCTCCAGCCCTGCAGCAGAGAGGGAGCAGTGGCCAGGGCTTGGAGCAGACAGCTGGTGCCCCAAGACCCCATCACAGTGTGCTGGACGTGCCAGGCATCCCAGAGGCTAGGGGTGGCAGTTGGCCCCCCCTCCACTGCGGAGAAGAAGCAGCGGCCAGGAGCGCAGGGGGCATCCTTATCCGGAGCAGGGAGTTGGGCCAGTGAGTTGAGGAAACCCCTCACCTTCCCTGGGGAAGCGGGACAGCAGCAGGCAAGGCACTGGGATCCTGAGGAGCAGCAGAGCACCCAGACAAGGGTCCCTGGGAGCTCAGGGCGCAGGCCGGTGCTCGGAGTGGGATTGGTGAGCTGCGAGGTGTGTGGGGTGCACGGCCTGTCATCTGGAGCAGGGGGTTGGAGCAACGACCCCTGGGAGCTGCCTGTGCTGCTGACCCTCTGCCACTGACTGCCTCAGAGGGGACTCAGTCCTGTCCCTTATTCTGCAGCTGACTGTCATTGGATGGAGTCCCTGAACTTTGTGCTTGGGTCATGTTCATTGCTGCAGAAACCTACTCTGTTACTTGTTGCTTGCCTTTTTGGTTGCCATGGAGGGTCACCCTTCAGCCTTTTTGGGGGGTTGGGGTTTGATACAATTTGATTGCTGCAGACCAGAAGAGCTTAACCTGTTGCAGTCTGTCGCTTATTGAGAAGCCCACTGAAGCTGCTGGGAGTGAGCACCTTGCTTCCTTGTGGTAGCATCTCAGCAGTAGCTGAAAGCTGCCAGTTACCCTACCTGTGGTTCTTGAGTCAAGGGTTGACTAATGCATTCTGGTTTGTTTTGTGATTCTGGTTATGCCATTTAAGTTCACTTGTAAATAACCTTTCCTATTATTCTTGTTTTGTAAATAAAGTATAAATAGTTAAATCAGTTAAGTGTTAGACCTTCTTGGGAACATGGGCTGGTCTGTGGGGAGCAGGGGCTGACTAGAAAGTAAATTGGTGCTGGCCAGAAACCTTGCCCCACTCTCACCACACCATCCCTGATATTGGGCAGGGGTGGCAACTATTGGGCCACTGGGTTACATATAAATAAAAATTTCCTAGAGGACCATACTCTTGAACCCTATAAAAAGTCTTTTTTTGTCATTCCATTTTAAATTATGTCATTTGATCTATGTGTTTTGCAAAAGAGACTGTAGCCCTGCAAAAACATCTATGGAGTGTCAAGGCCAGGAAAGTTAACACAGGCAAAGCTCTAGCTGCCTACATTCAGTTGCAGGAATGGAGCTACAATCATATTTCAGGACCAGACAATTAATGTTTATGTGCCTAGTAACAGTGCCTCCCTGCTTGATTATAGTTATGAAAAAATATTTTCATTTAAAAGAAGAACCAATAATGTTAGAAGAGATCAAAAGGTTACATGTTTTACTTCTTTCAACAATAGGAAAGTTATAGTTCTTAAATTCGCCTTGTACTTACCTCTATTCTTGTTCTTCAAATATTACCTCAAAATTTACCCTGTTATGGAAGATTAAGAAAAGCGTTGGTATGAAAACTTTTTTTTTGAAAACTTAGCCACAAATAGTGTTACTATTTCTGTCATATAGTATAAACCAATAGTAGAAACCAGTATAAGCATAGTAGAAACCTATTTACCTATCTGATTGCTCTGATTTTAAACTTTCACTTGGTTTGATCTTTTATGAAGAAAATAATTATTGTATAATGAATATATTTTCAAAAGAAAAGTGGAAGGAAAAAAAGAAGGAAGAAAAAAAGAAGTAATAAGAAAAATAGTGTAATAGTTAGCTGTTGCCCATGTCAGAGTAACAGGCCTATCATATAAATAACTTGCCAGAAATCTCTAAAATTCTGTGAGTCCCACATACATTTTATTGCCATTACAATTTGATCTTTTATTCAGCAGGACTTATTATTTCATGTGACATTAGCTCCCTCTGCTGTTATAAACTATATTCACTTTGTAATCCTTTTCAGTTGGTTTTCTTAATATCATTGTATTTTATTCTTTGAAGGAATTTTTATTATTTGAAATAGAAAAAAACTGCTCTTAAATATACTAAGTCCTAAAAACTTAAAAAGCCTCTACCAGGTGAATTCTTACATAGGTTTAAAAACTAAGTTTTAAAGGGGACGTCTACATGAGACGCTTAATGTGCAGAAGACTAATTCTACTGCATGTTAGTGTGGCTGGCAAAAACCTTGTTAATACGCTAATGCACAGTAGATAGAGTCTAATGCACATTAACATCATGTAAAAGGCATACATCTGCACTAATGTGTAGCAGCACTGATTATGGTGCATTATGTTTAGCACCTGTTATTACAGGTGCTAAACTTAATGTGGCATAATTATGGAACATTAATTAACATGTAGATGCAGCCAAATAAGTGCTTATCTTGGTTCATATACAGATAGGCTATTCAGCAAAAACCATAGTCCAAGGCTGCAGAGCAAAGAGTCTGAGCTCAAATTTTTATATCCAGTTACCTGACTTAACCTTAAAAACTTGCTAAATAGGGCTAGAGAGAGTTAGATAGCCATGTTAGTCTGAAGTCAGGCAGAAGGCAGGGCAGGGTGACACCTTAGAAGCTAATTCATTCAGGTAGCCATAGGCTTTCATTGACCCCAGCTTTCTTTGTCAGATGCTATGAATGGTACAAAATACAGTGGTGTTTATAGTCCATTTATAGCATCAGACAAAGCAGGCTGTTGCCTATGAAAACTTATGTCTTACTATACATTTTTTTCTCTAAAGTACCACATACCCTACCTTTTGCCAGTATTAAGTTTTGAAAATATAGAAATGTACCTAATAGGTTATATCCTGATTAACATGATATACCTACTCTTATCTCTTACATAAACTATGCCATGTCCTAAAACAGATCTAATTGGTATAAAAACACTAGATGAAATCCCAGTAGCAAATTTTGGCCCTGTGCTGCAAATCTGCAGTGCAGGGCATGCTTGAACATTCACTGTGTAATTTGTGGCACCACAAAGAGGTTTGTGGTACTGCAAACTACACGTGCCTGCATGTGGGGACCTACCCCAAGTGCCCCTTAGCCAACTTCTTTTGACCTGTCTTTAATTTTCTAAACTCATCTTTTCTCTGACATTCTTTTGCATACTCACTTCCTTTGTCTCCTCTCTTACTGAAACTGGACAAGTGGTTGAAAGCAAATGCTAATACTATATCACCATTAAGCAGTTTAGGGCATGCTGCAGTTTATAGTGTGGACCTGGGAAGAGAGCAAGCTGGTGTTGTACCAGAGAGCAAGCAGCTGGTATCATGTGCTGCATACCCAGTGATGGGCTGGATCATTAGGCCTTTTTCCTCTATAGGCAAAGAGGAGAGAGAAAGAGAGGTTCTTCAATTTTCTCAGAATGCTTGATATACTCCTGGCCTTGGCCTAAGGGGGGGACTTTTTGCTCCTGGGTCCTTCACTCAGGGGGAAAGAATCTCCTTGAACTTCTCTGAGAGGAATCTGAAGAGTGGAATAAGAAAAAGTAGTGGAATGTATTAAAAAAATGTGAATGGAAATGGCACATGTGAGTAAGAAAGAGAGATGGGGAAAACAAGTATGGCCTGAAATGCTTCAGAGTGCAGTGCTTCAAAGTTGTTCCTGTTTCATCCATGGTCATTCTCATGTGGTTCAAGCCAATTTGCCATGCACCAACTGTATAGTCACGTTTTATGGTGCTTTTACTGCACTTTAAGTACTACACATGATACACCTGTTCCTACCAGATGAACAGAGGATGTGGATACTAGGGAAGTGAGTGTGTTTAATAAATAGTGATAGATGCTGATGAGGTTGGCTAGGACATGAGGTTGCTTTAATGTTGGGGCTGCCACCAGCTACCACCCTCATGCCCCATCCAGCCCCTCTGCAGCATGTTGAGCCAGGTCAGAGCAGCCCCACGGTCCCCTGGCAACTGAGGCTGCTCTGACCCAGTTCAAAGTATTGTGGTCCCAGGCACACGTTCAAACGGCATGTCTGGGAGGAATAAACTCCAGAGCAATAAGCTCCAGAGTTTATTGCTTCACAGTTATTGCACATGTAGCTTCCCCCATAACAGTATAATACAGATTACAATTCTATTTTTAAAAAGTGCAAATACTCCTATTTTCTATAATCTATTTTCTTTAAAATAATCTTTTTAGTCTTGGGGCCTTGTTTCATGGTAATTTTGGACAACTCCTGGAGTTCTTAACTCCTGGATTATCCACATATTAACACCTGAAACTAGTTTTAAGCACTTGTTAGCTGGCTCAAAATTATAGCACTCCAGGGCAGGATTATCTCTGAGCTGTGTTATGCAGCTGTTTTACAATTAAGGTGTTGCCTCTCTAGACTATAGTGTAAACACCCCACCCGCCCTTGCCTTCCCCACTGGCCCAGATTAGGCCCACTGCCCCCCCAGCCCTCCCCAGAATACCTGATCTTTGCTCACTGCCTCCCCCTATCTCTCCCCTCTTACTGTGACTGCCTGCACTGTCTGTCCCAGGGGAGCAGGCAGGGAAGGGTTAACTTGCCTGCACCATTGCTGCTGCTTTCTGGACAGGCTCAGCCCAGAGAAGAGCAGCAGTCTAGCAGTGGCATTCAAGCAGGCAGGTTAACCCTTCCCTGACCACTCCCTTGGGGCAGACAGCATGAGCAGCCACAAGTAGGGGGAGGTTAAGGGGGAGCCCTTGAGATGTGGGGAAATAGGGGAGCCCTGGGGGGGCAGGAGACAGGGGGAAAGCCCAGAATTGGAGGTGAGGGGGTTTTCACCTTTTGGTCCTCCAGGCCCTTGCTGGCCTGAACTTGTGACTCCTCCAGACTGGAGCTAGCACTAACACTGATCAACATTTGTGTGGATCACAAAGTAAGGTGTAACAAGGGCCTTTAACAGTTCTTAAAGAGACTCTTTAAACTCAAATTGTCCTCAAAGAAGGCATAATCTATTTTTTACAATATTTTAGAGAGATGGTGCTTGTCTTTCCAAGACTGTTAATGAAATTGTCATAATTCCCCAGTTAATATTCCGAGATTTCTTTTTAAGTATTTCAGGAACAAACATAGTAAGTTAAGTGGAAGCCTGAGAGTAGAAGTAATTAATAGGGCTGTGCAAAACATGATCATTTTATTTTGACGTCCGTTTCATCATTTCGAAGGGACAGTGTTTTGTTTCATCATTTTGTTTAATTTCAAAGCACTGTCCCATTTCGTTTTGTTGAAACCGTGAAACGGTTTCAACTTGTTTCGACGTTTTGCCCATAGGCTATAATGGGGAATCATGAAAATGCCTAAAACATTGTCATTTGTTGCCTGATTAAGATGCAAATTGCAGGGATAGTAGCCCCTTCTGATGGCATGAAGCCTGTCAAGTTTCAAGGAGATAGGTGCAGAGATTTCTCAGAAACTGCACCTCAAAGTCTTGAAAGCAAAATTTGCTGGCAGAGGCAGCCTCCTTTCATCCAACGCACAAATCCGGCACTGTGCTCCAATTGGCTCTGCCAGCCCCATGGAGCATGGCACCAGTTTTTCCCACCTCCCACCACCAGGCTGTGCTCTGTGGGGCTGGTGGAGCTGATTGGCATGCAGTGTCGGCTCTGCCCGCCTCCCACCACCAGGCTGCACTCCAATCAGCTTTGCCAGCCCCACGGAGCGCAGCCCGGTGGCAGGAAGTGGGCAGAACTGGGGCTGTGCTCCCTGCCAGGCTGAGCTACATGGAGCTATGGAGCCACTGGCTCTCCCCTGCCTCCCATCACCAGGCTGCTTTGAAACTGGAAACATTTCAAAACTTTCCAAATGTTTTGAGTGCCCTCATTTTGTTTTGAAACAGTTTTGATGCTTTTTGTTTTGATTCGATGTCGCTGTTTCGAGCTCGAAACGCATCAAAACAGCTTTGAAAGGAAACACTTGGCAAAATTTCACACAGCCCTAGTAACTAACATTCCTAATGATAAATATATTCTTTAATATTACATTAAGATTCTAGAATACTTTTAAAGGAAATAATTTTCGATAAGACATTTCTAGAACTGTTTGCTTGAATTTAACATTCTTTTCTTTATGAAGAGAGGAAGATGATAAAGTGCTATTTACTGTTGTGGCTTCCTTAAAACAATGATGAAGTATACAGCATTTCTTTTTGAAATGCTAGAAGAAAAAATCTTTATTCATTAATAAATAGAATGTCTTCTGTCCTTTGAGAAGACACTTATATTGGAATTAACTGTGCCATATATTCACTCATAATTTGCAATTAAAAATTCCTCCCAAAAACATATTTCTAAGGCAAAAATCACAATTATTATCTTTTAAATATGCATTTCCAACATAATACAAAATAAAACCATAGTGAATATTAAATTACAGTAAAGATTATAAAGCTAAATGCCAGAGATTTCACAGTTTGACTCAAAGGTAGTACATACAGATGTGCATAATTATACTGTGAAAAGAGTAAATATAGATATTACCTAAGATTCAGCAAAGGCTTGTTTCTAATAACCTAACCTTACAATAGTTATATTAATAGCCATGTTTAAATTCATTTGGAAATGTGTCACCTCTACTGTGAAATAGTAATTCAGTTATAATGACTCAGATCTTAAAGGTCAAAGTGTAACAATTACAGACAGG